ACAAATATTTCCATAACGCTTGCAAGGGCAACAATTCACAATCCCTACTTTCTCATGTAAATAGGGAAAAGAGGTAAAAGCTTCTAGCGAGCACCCTGAGCAGCCAAAGCTTTTACCCTGGTACGTGATAGACAGCACGGTTATGAAAAAATTCAATTTTTTTGTCTTAAGTTATTTTGAGACAGACTAGAAAACCTGTCTTACAAAATTTCTTAACTAGAAAACCTATGAAATGGAAGACATGGGTCTGAACTGCAGACGGGAAGGCTGCTAACTCTGGGAAAAGACACCAGTGTCCCACATCTGACTCCACACAGGAATTCCATAGCTTAAATCAAATTAAAAAAAAAATAGGAATCCCTTTATCTCTTTTCAAACTGGTGGGAAAAAGCCCCATAGTGCTTTTATCTAAATTTTATCACAGAAGTGGCTACTTTCTGCTGCAGCCCAAATGGCATTGTACAAGAAGTGATGGGATGATTCTCTACGTAGAAGAACAGGGCAGCAACTTCAAATGCTTGAAAACACTGATCCTGCCACGATGTTAATAGAATAAGACAAAAAACAGTGGTTTTAGTTTTTAGGGTTGAAAGAGCTAATCCACATCAAGTTACCCTCCCAGCTTTTATGTATAATACATACCAGAAAAGATAAGCAAATTATATTACATTATATATAATTACAGAAGCTCCTAATTACATATCACGATTTCTAGGCAGTCTAGCAAATGCCGTGCTTTCCAGAACGGCAATTCCTGAAGCGAATAGTAAATCAGCTTTTGCTTGCCACTGATTTGAAACTTTAACCTATAAATTAAATTAATAAGAGACAAAGGCTTCTTTTGTGCATTTGCAAGCCTGTAGGATTTTACAAATAATAGGACTGGAAAGTGATTTATATTCCAAGATTAAAGGTCAGTTTGGCGCACACGACTTTGGAGCAAAACACCACAGCAGAGACTTACTATTAACTCATTCGTGCACCATCCTAATGCCATATTCTTATTTTTACAGAGCTATGAGGGCTTGCTGTGAACGCTATAATAGTCGCAATGCAGAAAAAAAACTGCATTGGAGAAATACATGGAATTCTTCCCAGTGTCTGGCAAGGAGGGAAATCTGTATGGGAATTGTACCATGCCATCAGTCCCCTGATTATTGAAGTGACGTTGCCTGTGTTCAACACAAACAGCTTGAAAACACAGAGAGTTGCAGGGAAACAGCATAATTTAAATGTAAATCAAAGATACACTAGCGACTCAAATTTTTACCAGCAAACAGAAGCTTCCACTATTTATGAAATTCTGCCAATGGCTGGTCCTTCTCCTGAACAAATCAACATTTCTGTGGAAATGAAACTTCAAGCTAAAACGAAAGCTTTTGGTGTATGCAATAAGTAACACAGAGTTATCCTGAGAACTGGACTAGCTTCTTATGGCTATTCCTGTAAGAAAACCCCAGTAAGAGACCAGAGGAGGAGAAACACACAAACACACTCACCACTGGGAATGCAGCTTCTTCAGTAGAACTCTTCTGCTATTTTGTAGGCGACAAATTCAATATTTTACTTATTAAATTAGGACGTACTTCTCTATTATGTGAGAATTCATTAAACAATTTAACACATTTAATAGTCAAAGAAAGAGATGAAACAGTAGCATGTTTTCATAATCTGATGAAAATGTAATCTGATCTCCAAAGAAGAAAACACCAGCTTGGAAACCAACACCCTATTTGTTTAAACTCTATCTGCAATTAAAAACATGTCGTTATTTTGCTTTCCCTGGAAAAGCAGATGGCAAGGATGTAGGTTGTTTTTTGGATAATTTAATTGTACGTTAGAGCTCTGCATACAACATTTTGCAGCTGATACTACATGAAATCGCAGAGTTCACGTTTCAGTTTCGCTTAGACTCCTGGACCCTTGAGAGCAAACATTACGGAAAAAGAAGAGCACTAAATTTTGGCAGACACCAACAGTTGCATCATCCCAAAGGTCTCCGAAGCAAGGGAACTGGAATGATGGCTAATCCCCTGCGAACATTGGGGAAGGTGGGAATGGACAAGAAGACGAACTCTCCCTAAACTGCAGTTGGCATGTTGTTATATAGGAAAAAGACAGTATTTCATAGAATCATAGAATCGTGCAGGTTGGAGGGGACCTTTAAGATCATCTAGTCCAACCATCAACCTAACTCTGATTAAAAAAAAAAACAACCAAAAAACCAAAAGAAAATCACACAAAAGAACCCCCCATATTACTAAACTATGTCTCTAAGCACTATGTCAAATTGTCTTTTGAAAACCTCCAGAGATGGTGCCTCAACCACTTCCCCGGCCAGCCCATTCCAATGCTTAATAACCCTTTTGGTGTAAAAATTTTCCTAATAAAAAAATTTTATGTCCATCCATGCCAAGAAGGATGATAAAAAAATAGTATATTTGTTGCCATGAAGACTAGTTTTGACCATTCAGAGCATCCATGGGTGAGTACACTTGTGTGAGGGCTCTGGGCAAGGTCTGAGCAAGTCCCAAGCCAGGTGTTGAGGCTGCCCCATCACGGCAGAGCCAGGAAGCCAGTCCTGCCTGGCAGATGTGGTTGTGGAGCCTGAAGGACCAAGATGCTGTGGTAGAAATAGAGGAGCTATTGACACCGTACCAAGGAGGCCAAGTGAGAAATTCTCATCCACAAAGCAAGAGAGAAAACAAGACATGTTACTTGGAAAGACTGGAAAGCTCTTAAATTTTCTTCTACCATTTTCCCCTCTCATTTCTGTCTTCCAGTTAGCACTGAAATTTGTCATCTTTCTTCTCTTTGCAGATTTCTTAAAACACGCCATTAACTAGCTCATAAATCCACAATTTAAATAATTATCAGAGCATTGCCTCTGTTATCTGCAGAGCTGACAAACCTCCTGGGTCCTGAACGTTTCATGAGCAGTAGATCATTTCCCACAGCCCTTGGTAAGCAGAGGGAAGCGATGGGCTCCATCGTCCCTGTCCGCTGGAGAAGCTGGCCAGCAGGATAGAAGCATCAGAGCACGGATTGCTGATTAAGTGACTGCGAAGTGGGTTGTAAGGATTAATCTGATTAGGATTGAAAAAGACCAAATGGGTGGAGGGGGGAGGAAGAGAAAAGAGGAGAACACGTAAGGCAAGTGATGAGGGTCCTGGGTGGTCTGTAAACGAGTTTGAAACAGTGGGAGAGTGTAACGAAGAGATGAAATCCAATAGTTGTACAGGAAGCTTTCACCAGGCTTAAAACAAATCCTTAAGAAAAACAGAAAAGAATCCAGGAAGAGGAATTGTATTACTGCTGAAAATGGTATTGGCATATTCCCAATGCATTTATAGCGTGTGACTGACAGTTCTGCTGCTGATCCCGGCAATGGGGAGGGATAATGTCTTCCTACGCTTCAAAAACCTCAAAAGGCTCACAACAGAAAGTTCCCTGGAGGGCATTTCTACTAAACTTCTGGTAGTTTACCCTATTTTGTTTTAATATCGCTGGGAATGAGGGGAAAGCTGGGGCAACCGGCGGGTGACCCGAGTGGCAGGTGCCACTAACCTGCTTGGCTTATACCAAAGGGAGAATCACAGAGGTCGCTCACTTTGGGTTTGTTTTAATGCAGTTACTTTTGGTGCAGAAATGCAAAGAGAAAACAGCATGGAAAAGACAAATAAAATCCCGCAGCAAATCCAAGTGCTTTTCCGCCCATGGTAGCTGGCGTCTGGGAGGGATCACTTACTGTGTGCTTATCCCACCCCTCCAATTCCTGCCATTACTTTCCTTTTAGACCTATTCTGAACGTTTCTCTCTCAGCACCTGCTTACGTCCAATTTACTTCAATAGTATGTGGTTTCCTGTGCCTGGGCCAAAGATGCTGGGTTCTGCTTTATGACACTGGTTTGCAGCTCTACTTTTTATTTTGATAGTTCTCTGACCAGACACTCCTCCCCCTTCTCCTAAATCTACTGCCAGGATCCTGGTCCCAATGAAGACGATACCTGAACTGATGCTGACTTTGAGGTGGTTGGGAATCCACTTACCATTCTCCTGTCATGTTTGCAGTTCGGGGTAATACAAGCCAGGCTCCTGGAGCAAACACAGGCTGACAATAAACCTACGCTCTCACGAGTGCATGACTCTGGAAAGTGGTTTCCCTGCCTGCTCTGCTTGGAATAAAATATCACCTACCACGTCCCAGCAAGTAGGAGAAATCTGCTTTTCTTCTGCTTAAGGTCCAATGTTATTAATCGCTCTAGTTCTTCTGGAGCATCCTTTGACTGCAGAAGACCTGCATTCCTCTTCACTTTTTAAAAAGCAGCATGACTGGGCATAAATGTCAGTATTTATCATTACGTCTTCTAAAATTGCAACTCCAGAAGGAGGGTTACGCTTCTGAGAATTTACTCCTTCGCAGCTTTCGAGAGCTCAGAGCTCACTTTCAGAAGCACTGATCATCTGCAGCAGAACCCACTGCCAGCGCCCGAACTCTGGAAAACCAGGCCTCCTTCCCAGAAGTGCTCAGCTGGAAATTACAGAGTCACCGAATCTCTGCTTGTGCTTCTGCCAGTAAACCCAACGTACAAACCTAACAATACCTACCTTCCCAAGCACAAATTCCGCCTTTAACCGAATCTCTGCTTGTGCTTCTGCCAGTAAACCCAACGTGCAAACCTAACAATACCTATCTTCCCAAGCTGAGCACAAATTCCGCCTTTACAAGCATTTGCTCCCTCTCTTTTTTAAGTGGTGTGCACATTTAACTATTATTAGAACAACAGAGCCCAGCCCAAAGTTGGGAATAACAAACATTTCTAGCAAATTGCATTCAAAGATATCTTGCATCCAACACAGAGCACCTGGGATCCATCTAAAAACCTGTCTGAGATAGAGACCTTCTTGCAGCAGCCTGATACAAAATCCAGATACAGCGTAATAAGCTTTTGATGTCGTGTTGACATTTATCTGCCAATATTATTGCTTCATGCACTTACCTTATGATGGATCTTGTTACTTAATTGATCGCAGGCAAGGTCAGGAATTGGCCCTTCTTCCAGTGCTAGCACTGACATCATGCAAATCACCAAAACCCAGAAGAAAGCACCTAATCCTCAGCTTCAAATCCACACTAAGCAGCCCTTCGATATGTGTGAATGAGGACAACTGGTTTTTCAATTATGCCTCCAAAAAGGTCATTTTTCAAAACTTATGACCAAATGGAAAAAAAAAAAAGAAAAAAAGCTGAACACAAGCATGCTCTTCCTCTCTTCCTTTTGGTATCAGTCGTCTTAACTCAAAGAACAGTTTGCTTTTAGAACAGGAGATGAAAATAAACTGCATTTATAATCCACCATGGGCAGAACCGTGTTTCCTTTGCCCTACTCTCTTTATGGAAGACTCATCAACAGCTTTGGCTTCTATGGGGCAAGTTGTCCAGTGAGGGCAGAGAAATCAGAACTCACTTCACTCATATTTTTTTAGAAACACAGCTTTCAGAGTATAAATTTTACTGTCTCAAATAACGACAGGCTGTGAGCAACTCCAGAAACCCACAGCATGTCTACCAAATCCCATGGTCACTTCTTAAAACCCTTCCAGGAGCTGAGGGCAGGCAGTTGCCCTGGGCTCACAGCAGCGTTGAGCTCACCCTGCAAGCATGGACTGCTGGACTTCACACCCTTTTCAAATGCTTTTGGAAAAATATGTAAAATTTCCCCATGTCAAGGCTGCATCTCGTCACTCCTCCAAGCCTCAACCAATTCTGCAGCAAACCTCATCTGCTAACATGTGTACCAGGACTCAGAAGCAGCACTGACCCTGGTAACTCAACTTCTATGACCCAGCACCTCCTGTCCCAAGGTGAACCAGCAAAATCCATGAGCAAAACCATGCAAGTTCACACCCTGAATAAGGAAGGAGCAGAGACACAAATTATTCTGCATCCAATGAAGCAAACCCAGGCCCTTTCATGCCAGCAAGGGGGAAAGTTGCCAACCAACAGGCTCAGCCACACTGTGCCAGAAACACCACACTGGGTTCTTTGGTTTCCCTTTGGTGGCTGTTGCAAGGGGAAGTTCCGGGCTTCCCCCAGAAGACATCAGTTTTGGAAAGCCCCCCCTGTCCAACCTGAGGTCGCCCAGCCAGGCCAGACCCGGGAGTTCCACAGTTGTCCTGGTTTGAAAATTGGTTCTGTTTTACCTCAAACCAGGGCAACAGTGAAACCACAGCTTGAGAAAAACGTATTGATGGCCTTAATAATTCATTATTGTGACCATCAGTCCTGCCAGGACTCATGTCTATTGTCTTCAGAATGGAAAAAATTCTGTAAAGAGCCAATGATCGTAAACTTAGGATGCTACATATATATTTTATAACGTTATTAAAAAGAAGATCTCCAAAACACTTTGCATGGTTACTTTTAAAAAATGTTCTTATTTTCCGTTTAATTCATCACTGCTGCCCTCATAGAAATTGTAACTTTAAAACATACATTTTGAGCATGAGATCCGAGTACCTACTTCCCTGTTAGGAACATTTTCGCTTCCAGCAACACAAACTGTTGGAATAAAGCCCACCCTGAGGCATCAGGGATCATGAAAGCAGATAATTTTCTGATTTATCAAAATGAATTGCTAGATACTATTTACTTTCTGTTTCATAATAGGTTGGGAAAAGCTAGATGAAAAGTCTAACAAGGTCTAATACAGTGAAGAGAAGGGAGAAAAGAAATCAAGAGGCAGTTAAAGAGCAGTTAGAGCTTCCTTCTCATTCTTATCAGCCCAGCTATCAGTCAGCAAGCCCCTAATTAGGTACAAAAGACATTGTGCTCTGGAGAGCTTCTCCAGGAACTGGAGAGCTGCTGTATGCCAGAAGCTGGAGCACTGATTGACAGCCTCTATTTAAGAAAAACAGTTACAGAATAATTAGCGACAATTTGTACGAATCAGAAGAAATGACCTTTGTGGCTGCGCAGCCTCTTACACAAAGATCAAAGCTTTTCTAAGCAGCGCTGACAAATTCAGAACTAAAATTCTGTGACTCAGTGATTAAGTAGAGGCTGGTTCAGCAAAGTTCTTCAAACTTTCCTGCTTCGTGCCAACCGACCCATCCTGAGCAACTCCATGGCAGGGAAGGAAATCCTGAGTCTTACTTCCAAGGCTGACAAAGATTTTCTTGGTTCAGGAGTGGGTTTTTCTTTTCCTTTCCCTATATCCCTCTGCCTTATCTCTGTCTCAGTAGCAAGTCTGCCTTCCTAGCCTGGTTTTCTGCAGCAAAGCATGCAGAACATTGAGAAACTCTTGGATGAGAAGCATTCCCTTCCAAACACCACTTAAAAAAAAAAATTATCTTAAAATTGAACATACAAAATACCAGTTGTGAGCGGAAGAGCCACAGGTTCTTTGCTTGGTGTATGCTGTGGCTGTCACCCCTGCTGAGCTTCACCCAGCACTGGCCTGGTTGAGGACAGGCCACCGGGAGACGAGGGACCCCCAGGATGCTGCTCCCGCACCGTTTCGGTCCAAAGCTGGCAGAGGAGGAGGACACCCAGCAGGGCTCTGCTCCACGCACCCGCCTGCCCGAGCAGCTGCCTCGGCAGCTGTTCCTACCAGTTGGTGGCTGAATTTTACAAGATATCTGTCTGTAATTAAAAAGCAACAATACTTTGGCAGCCATTAGAAAAACGCATCACTGGATTGCATCCCACGGGGAGCACTGCCGCAGCGGAACACGGGGAGGCCGCGATGGATGCGACCCTGTAGGACTTTCCAGTTTCTAAACCCCTAAGATTATCTCCTTAACCACTCTGCCAAGACCACCGCCGGCATCCAAAAACACAAGCTCCATTTGGCCTGGATGCGGGTCAGAAACGCTCATCTCCTGCCTGTGCCACCCTGCGCCAAGACATATGGTCGCAAGGTGCTCGGCCACGTAAGCGCAAGGGTCGGGGAGCTGCAGGTTTGGTGGGGGAGATTTTAAAACACGGGTCTTGCACAAGAGGATTTTCTCCATTTGGAGCACGTTAAGGCATTGTGCTGGTGCCAGCTAAGCAGCACACCCAGAATCAGCAACGCCTGGGCCAGATGAAGCTTGGCACGGGAGGGAACGGTGAGAGGCCCCTGGGGAGCAGGTTGGTGCTCCCTGATCCAGTGCCTGGCTCACAGTCCTGGTACCTACTGACAGCAGTTAGAAACCTGCTCCAGCCCATGCCCAGGCAATATCCTGCAAGCTGTGCAAGCTCCAGAAATGGCCTCAAGTGGTGCAAAACCTTCCATAGCAGGCTTTTTCCCTGGTCCATATGGGAGCCCAGTTATGGGAGGGAGCTGCTGCACTCCACAGGGGGTGAAGGATGCCCTCTGGAGCAGGCAGGGATGGTGGGGGGACACGCTGAGCCCCATCTCCCCGCTCACACAAGCAGGGAACGAGGCTGCTCTGTCTCGCCCAAGGGGCAGGATGCCACCAAACACCATGGGATCCCTGCCATGAGCTCCAGTGGAGGCAGAAATCGAGCTCCAGCCTGCAAACCGCTGTACGCATATTTGTAAACCATTGTGTACACAGCAGATAAATGCTTAATAATCATGATGACAAACAGACCTAAAACCCAGAAGCAGCTTCCCTCCGCATTAACTGCATCAGGAACAGGTTCCACTGAGGAAAAGCCTCGCTTTTACTGGGACTTCTTACAGGGGGAAAAGCCATCGAACCACAGCCACAGTGAAATGAGGGCAAACCCAACAAATAATAAATAAAGCCCGTGGCACGTCAGACCCCAGGACTTCACCCACTGGTTACCACCCAGGCACATCCATTTTCACATGTTAATGTGGACACCACTGCACGTGAAGCTGCACCACGGGCAGGAGGAGCCCTGACCTTCGTGCACACCAGGGTGCAAACATACACACCTACCTTGGAGCCTCTGGCCACGTTAGCAAAGAAACTAATGCAAAAGGAGGCTAAATTCCCTGTATGTGGTGTCTTGCCAAGCTGGGATTACAGTTTGGGCGTCCTGGCACCCACAGCCACGATTAATCTGCTGAGTGTTTCCACCCTCATCCCAGCCTCCAGGTAGTTTCCATGTGCCAGGCTGTGTATGGTGGTGGAGCAAAATCTTCTCATCTCCACCAGTGTCTGCTGTTCTCTTCCATGCTTACTGGAGCCCATCTATTCCTCAGGGATCAGAGGAGAGTTAGACTGGTAGGAAAATACCTTTCCTATGTAAACCAAGCGTTCTGCCATTTCCCTCTCCAAATTACACAGCGTCACAGATCGTAAGCACTCTAAACAGAGGGTCTTCAGTTGAGGAACAGATCTCCATAAAGGCTGGGATTAAGGCCCCGCACATTAGAGAGGAAAGAGGTAGGAAAAATATGCTGCGTTTAATTACCCAAGCCATAACAACATTTTACTATTTTATACACGATTCCTGACAAAAGTGGAAATGTTATTTTCCACGAGCATAGCTGCTGGTTCTACTACAAATAAATAGTCCAGGGCGCGCTCACCACGCGAGAGATGGAGGCCATGTGTTTTCATTAATTCTCTTGGCAGAGAAGCCCATGTAGATTTTGGACTGCAGCTCAGGACTGGAACAGGAGAGCTGGGGTGGCCAACATACATCACAGCAGACTACGTTTGGCCCAGGTCCACTTATGAGCTGGTCCAATACCCAGTTTTATCATCCTAATTACGAGCAGATTCCCAGCTCCCTCCCTTACCGAGCTATCTTCGGCTTCACCCTTTTCTTCCTCCCTCTGGCTGGTTGAAATCAGCAGGTGAATTTGCAGTCCTTTGTCTGTTATCGCCGATAGACAAAGTTTGGCCTCTTTCATTTTCCTTTTATTGCAGCTTCTTTTGTGTGGATTAAAATAATTGATATTGATAATGTGATCTGCCCCCTGCCCCTGTTCCCAATTACTTGCACAGGCTGGGGATCCTGCATTATGGATATGACAGGAATGGTCTTAATTAGCCTTCTGGGCTACAGAACTGATTCTGGTTTTGATTTGAAATACTTGGGATTACGCAGGCTGACTGTTGTGGGCTGGGGTCACCAGCGGAGCCGGCCAGGGGGATTCTGGGGGGCTCGCTTCGAGCTGGCTTTTCTCAGACTGCTGCCAGGTGCCCGGCAGCACATGGAGCCAAGTCCTCGGGCTGGTAGGCAAAAATGAAGGACGATTTACTGCGGCAGCCTTTATGTTTGGGATTAAGAACGACAGCACCGAAGGCTCCGCATCCAGAGTTTTACTCAGAACGAAGCAGGACACTGACGGTCCGACAAGAGCTACCCCAGCAGCAGCCTTCGTAAAGGTCACCCTTGCAGTCAGTGGGTGAAACCCCATTAAAAGTAAATCATGATAAAATATAGGAGCATTAAACTTGAAAAGGCAAATATGGCTTTCTGGACCTGCAAAATTCCATTTCAAAACATACGACCGGTTCACTTGGTCACAGAAGAGAAAGGGGAAAGTGTCAGCACCTGGGAAATGGATAGATATTTTTTTTCCTACTTTGGAAAGAGGAATCCTAATCCTGGATTAGGACTGGTACACAACTGGTGACGTGGTCCCTGGCACTCACACGCAATTCTCTTCACGCAAGGGTGGAAAGACAGAGGTACCATACGAGGGTCCCCATTTCCACAGCTCAGCGTGCCCACCCCGTAAATGTAATCCATAGGCAACACCTGGGCACATGTTCTGCAGGTCAGAGAAGTCAGGCTCTGCCGGCTTTAATTGGAGGAGGAAAATGGTTTCCAGACATGATGAAGGCCTGCTGAGAATGTCACCCCAAAGGGACATGTCCAGGGACTGAGAGCTCAGCCCTGCTGGCTGGAAATAACTGTGGGGCTGAGGCACGAAGGGGTCTCACCAACGTGGGACAAGCACAGCAGAAGGCCAAGATCTGTTAGCTGGTGCTAACAGATGCAAACGTGGGACAAGCACAGCAGAAGGCCAAGACTTTGCAGGCTGGTGCTAACAGATGCGGTGCTCACCCGCTCGTTAGATGGACATGGATTATAGATCAGAGGCAAAACAACATATTTGCCATTTTCAGTGGCTGTGATGTTCATCTGGAGGAGGGAATATGGCTTCAGCACTGCTTCCTTCATTAAAGCAGGGCTACTCGCCCAGCGCAGTGCCGCTGTACACAGCAATTTCTTTCTTTTTCAACACTGTTTATACAAAAGGCAAATGGAAAAATATAGGTAAAAAGAGAGGGGAAGCTGAGCTCGCTCTCTTTGTAATCAAAGAGGAGACAACACTCAGAGCCAGAATACAAACCACAGTTTATAATCAGGATGCAATGTAATCACCGAAACAGATGTCGAAAAGATAAAACTGCATAATTCTGAATTGCCAACGATTAGTGCTCAGCATCTTGGAGACCACTGAGATGCTCTATTTCTGTCTACAGATGTCTGCATTTTGGAAGCCTAAGCAGAGAGCGTTCAGCACAATTCTACGGGCAAGTCCTTTCTGTTCCTCTCCTGTAGAATTTTTAGAGAGGCAGCTCTCGGTGAGGCTTAGGTTTGCTCCTGAATCAGTCCATGATGGTGAGGGGAGGGAAGGAGAGAAATTGGTACTTTAGGACTGTGGTTGGGAAAAACAGCCTCACCGAGCTGGCACATGGACATCAACTGTGTTGCCAGAGACAGGCTACGATAAAGAAAGAAAACATGGAGGGCTGCCTGGCAGAAGAGAAAAGGTTAGAGAACGTTTTTCTACCAAAGTAAAGCAGACAAGAGAAACGAGTTTTAATGTGCAGATTGCTCACCTCATAGTGATAATCCATGCAAGTTAAATCTCTCCAGCAGCGATCTCCTCGAATTTTAATCAGCCCCTGGGGAAAAAAAAAAAAAGACAAAAAATACAGTCACAAATATTTCATTTTACTTTATCTTTTACATCAAGGTATTATCTCAAGATGCCAAATACTCTACTTAAGTTACAGAGAGAGCCTGTCATGGCAGGGAAGTGCAGAGGCTGGAATGACCCCCCAGAGACCCACCACATCTGCACCCCAGGCCCAGCCGTTGTCTCCGAGGGAAGAGAATGCAAGGAGAGCTCAAAACCAGGCTCAGCTGCTGGGACATTTCTGTCTAACAGACTGAAAAGTTACCTGCAGACCTAAACACAGCTGTGTTCACAATTTTAAAATCCAGACCCAATTTTCCTCCTCTTGAAAAGCCACCTCTGCTGCCTATAGAAAAGGAAATAGTGATACAGACAGGGATGGGGACCCAGCAGCCCCACCAGCCCTGAGCTGGATACAGAGATGCAATCAAAGTAATTAGAGAAACAAAAGAGGAGAAGGGGAAGGAAGCTGACAGATCTAAACACAGATGAATGCGCTAATGACAGGTCTGCTCCACCTTAGGTTAGAGGTTGGCAATGAAATGAGCAGGTATCAGAGGTTGCTGTGCAATGATATTTCAGGGCAACAAGAGGGTGAAATTTCCAAATCAGTGGGTCCATTCCAGGGCTGGCAGTAATATTGGGATTAAATTTCTTTGCCTCAGTGATGAGGAGTAGAAAGGAATCAGTCGTCCACGGCAGGAAGGACACCTGGCCAGGGATGAGCCTGCGAGCAGGAAGCCTTGCAATCAAGCTGTGCCAGCCTGAAGGTATGTGGGTTCAGCCCCGCGGCTTTGATGTATGGCGGAAAGGTCCCTGATTAGGATCACAATATCCCAAATTGAGGAAAGCTTCACTAGTCAAAAGGTTGAACCAGCTCTATCATCTGCATACAATTAGGGGGTATTTGCCTACCTCTGACATTGCCCCTAATTATAATGTTCCTGCCTTCCTCAGGAGAAAAATACAGGGAGTTTCTGCAAGGACCCATCGCTGGCTACACCAGGAGCATCCTGAAGCTTCTTTACATTCACAGTAGGGAAGATTTTCAAGACACAGGGAGATGTCCCTGCCCATAGCAGGGGGGCTGGAAATCGATGATCTCTAAGGTCCCTCCCAACCTAAACTATTTTATGATTTTAGGCTTCTAACTGGGAACAATTAGGGACCATTTCTCCTGATACAAGATATTAAAGCAATCTGATGGAAGGCTCAAGTAGCTGGTTTAGGAATGAACAAAAGATGTACTTTTCCATACAGCAAATTATTTACTTTGTGGGACCCAAAAGTTTTTTAACACAAATGTGTTCAAAAGGAATTAGACGCATTCCCAGAGGACAGGCTCGGGGTAACTTCTGAACACAACCTCCTCCCTGGAAAGTCCCTAGACCACTTGACTGCCAGGAGCTGTGAGAAGCTGCCCCAGAAGATCACTTTATGCTTTATATTTCTCCCCAAGCATCTGTTAATGGCTGCTATTGGAGACAATATAAGAAGTTAGTTGGACCCTGGGCTTAACCCAACATAGACTTTTTTTTTAAGCAAAGATCCACAAAGAATAGTTACAAGCTTATTTTGCAGGTAATAGGAAATAGGCACTCTTCTTGGTCTGAGCCTTGTACCAGGTGATGTTTAGACATATTTTTGTGAATAGGGGTGACCCCAGCAGCCTTCAACACAGCTAGGTACAGAATTAAACGATACTTGTTATCAGGCACATTGCTGAGTTCAAGCAGATTTCACCCATCTGCTGTTCGAAATTATTTTTCCTTTTCTTTCCTAGTCATAAATGGCGGGGCCATTTGTACACAATACCATCCTGTGGTCAAAGGAGAAAATACCAAATAAGACAGCACGGGCCACATGAGCTCTCAGCACCAAGTACCAGCCGCAGGAAAAGCATCACCTCAGAGGCAAATGCAAGAGATGCAACAGGGAAATTGACACCACCACAACCAGCAAGGAAGAACAAGGAGATACAGCAAGGCTAATTGTTATTTTACAGAAGTGATTGATAAGGAAGACAGCAATAAGGCAAAGGTTTCTGCGGCATCTGACACCATGGGAATGGGCACCAAAGCAGCACAGTGCAGGATCTGTCCCCCGAGGGCAGGCAGCCTGAGGGATGCTGGTACCCTGCCTGTCCCTGCTGGCCTTTGGACCTGTAAAACTCCCCAAGAGCTACACTGAAGCCTGAGCAATGGCCCTCCCAGCAGCCTCCAGAGGAAAGAGACACCTTCAAACCTTGCACACACTGTTGTCTTAATGCAAGTTGCACTGGGAACAGCTCGGGGTGGCTCCATGGACGGCTGAGATGGGTCCACACCAGGATCTCAGACCTAGAAATACTCTGTCCCAGGAGGTCCGCATCCCAGCGTCATCACAAAAGGGACACCTCCCACAAGCACCACTACCAAAAAAAAAAAAAAACCCAAGCAGAGCTGGGCCATAAAGGCACAGATAAAAGCATGATGGATGCAAAGCAGGACCATACAAAACTGGAGGGATAGGAAAACAGACCAGTGGGTATCAGTGGCTGCTCTGCAATTTTACTCTCTAGTGAGTTATTCAGCAGATCCCGTCTCTGTCCTCCATCACTCTGCGAGGCTGGTGCAGGGGAGGCAGGGACAAGACAGACTCGCTGTCAACAATCACGGCTTCATCTCTCCCTCCCGAATCATCCGCAGCTCACTCTGCCCCTCAAACCTTTTCTAAAATTACAGGATATGTTGATAGCATCTCACAGGATGTGCTGCAGCCGGCAGTCCTGTCAGTGGCAGGACAGATGCTAAGAAAGGCTCTGTGCAAGAATGCTGGAATATTAGAAAAGGACAGCTATCTTGATGACCTTCCCTCCTACCTTGCCCAAGCTGTTATCAAGCTCTATTATTCAGCAGGGATAATTAAAACAAGAATATGATAGAAGAGCACCGTACTGAAAACCAAAATCTTTCCTGCAATGAGTCACTAAGGGAGTTAATCACGTTTTGTTTACTATAAAGCTTTCAAACAGGAAAGTCACTTAAAGCTCTTAATATCAAATCTGTTTTTCAGCATAGAAAACTCCCACTCTCATTATTAGGAGGCGTTTCAAGTCTTCTATGCCCTGCTGCTGTCTTCAGGTCCACTTCCACTCCCACACTGGCAGGTGAGTTTTCCGGTTTTCAAATGAAGTTGGACTGGGAAACAAGAGCACAAAAACCTACCTGCCCTGTACCTTCATCTCTGCTGAGGACCACCATGGAAAGAGCCACAGTGGCTAAAACAATTGCTAAATAATCCTGCCGTGCAGAGTTGTGCTGCCCTGCATATGCTCACACCAGGACGAGCTCTGACAGCCCTTACTGCTCCGTGCCCGGACAGACTCTGCTTTTACATACTCTCCCTTAATTATTTGGCTTCTGCTGACATTTTTGGAAGTCAGCTCCTGTTCTCTTGAAGATGCAAATGTAGTTTGAGAAACGGTATCTGGGTCCAAGTGAGCACAGGAGGACAGAAGGGGGAGGGGAGGAAATGGGGATCCCCACATCTGCTGGAGTTTGACATGTGCTGGATTTCTTTCAGTCTGCTAACAATTCCCAATCCATTTTCAAGATTTCTCTGTGTATATTGAACCGGCCTGGACTCCACAGCTGCAGCAGATTATGCTGCCATACCACAGATCAAAGCACGGGGAAAAATCCCCATCCCCTGCTCTCAGACAGGCAGAGACTAGTGCATCTCTGATGTACCCAAACTGTCTTCTCTTTGGATGAGGAGAGGACCTGTGTGGGTCCAAAAGGAAAAGAAGCCAGAGGGTATGTGCATGGGACAACCCCATGAGACTCCAGAAGACCTGGAAGACCCTACTCTCATTTGGGTATAACCTTCAAACGTCTTGCAAGGAGTATTTTGGGGGGAAATATTGAGCAGGGTTCAAGAGGGGAACAATATGGACAAATTAAATGGAAAACATGGAAAGGAAAGAAATCATTCAGCAGCACTCTGGAGAGCAGGGCTCACAACCCTGAAAACGAACTTGTTCCTTCCTGCCACCCACAGCAGTCAGATCTCACCTCCAGCTATCTTCTGGTAGTGCTGCTTGAGCAGAAGGAAAGAGAAAGGAAGAGAAAGGAAACAGACCGACTTTAGACTCTCGTGCTGCTCAGCATTTAGTTCTACCATCGAAACCGAGCTCCATCGACCAGCCTTAGGCGGGATGGATTTAAGAACAAACCTGATGATTCGCTGCATTAAGGCTGTGTAGGAGGTAACACCTGACTCTCAGAAAGACCAGGATGGAGATGCTTTAACAAAGGAGTTTTCCTTTACTATAGGGGGGCATTTTTTGAGAGTAAGATCTGCTTGATACTTTCAAAGTCCAAGAACATATACAGGCATTTAGAACGTTCAGTAGCTTTCAGGTGGCACCTATGGGCAGCGGCTACCACAAACCTGCTGCACCAGCCTCCAGCTTAATTGCTTTTTCTCTCACATGTACAAGTTTCTAGTTTTTGTAACGAGTAAGTTCAAGGCTTGGGATGTAAATGATAGAAAGCAACAATTGCACACCCCTGTTCTTATTTTCCAGTGCTTGGTATTCTCCATGCCAAGCTTGGTCCCCCCCTTCCATCCCTCCTTACTTTAAATTCTCCCTGTGATGTTCAAGCATCTTCAGGTACCACGTGTTTTTTGATACAACATCAAAATTGACCTGTTAGCTCAGCGCTAATTAATGCTGTCAGAAGCTGGGCATGCTTACAGGTAGGCAATAAGCAGAAAAACATTTCCAAGGGCAGCTGGAAATGTTAACTCCCGAGAAACCGCTGCCGTACGTGGGGCAGGGTCTTGCCAGCCCCTGTTTACCGAGGAGCTGAGCTCCTCACTGACCCCCAGTTGTTGGGTGATAAAAAAACGACAGGTAAGTGTTCACCTGCAGCAATTCACCTTGAAGACCAGACCACACCTCAACGTACTAAACCATCCCACCTTTTATGGCCCTTTTTG